CGCAGATTCAACCGCTCGAACAAATTATAGAAAAAAAATCATCGTGTACAATAGACAGAACGTAATGAGTCCAAATGAAAAGTCATTATATACATACATATGGTACATTAAGAATACTTCAAAAATTACTTTCGTTGTTGTTTTGTGCAGTCTTTGGCAACTCTTTCCGTTTGCGAATATCAACATTTGTGATGGCCTTGAAAATACTTGCCTGCAAGCCACATACGTCCTCCATAATACCTGAAAGTTTCAAATAAATCTATAAATTTGCATATGAACACAAAACGTGCTTTCGCGATCCTTGAATGCAATACATCTCACATAAACATGAGAAGATCGTCTCCCAACATCACACTTCACCATGGTAAACTTCGAATTCTGACCTGTTTCTCTACACACGGGTCTCACTAACTAAAGTTCTTAAAAGGTACTCATTTTTGTACTCCATATTCTCAGAATGTATGCAACACTTCAACGACAAAAGATTGCAGTGCAATCAAAAACAGACCCAAACAAGCAAATAAGCCAATACCGTGCAACCTACTAAACCAGCCTGAGATGAAAAACGTCGTAATCTGTACTGAAGATGATTTGGCCGTATGTCAGTAACAATGCTGAAAAATAGCAAAAACGGTTCACACGACGCTAAAGGTAATGAATCAGCAGACTGACCGATAAGAGTCATTTTCAGCTCTGAACTCATGATGCAGCTGCGAGCGGAACAATTTCCGAACTTTGCCTACATCTTTATTGTGAATAAGACTCGTTAAGACGCGGGCCGAAACGTTCGTAATGGTCAACCATCTTATCAACTTTAGCGTTATTTTTATGTTATAAACCATTTATGTGCAATCTGTTATCGGTAGTGATGGCTTTCGCATGCAACGCAGCTGTGACAACCACTCTGACCTTAATTTCAAGAAATCCAGTAATACGAGGAACCCATCAAACAAGACTGATCTACTAACGGAACAGAGATGGGACGCAATAGAGAAAGTCAGTTAATTTAAGCATCTCCGCTCTACTATCTCTAGCGATGAAACCGTTCAATTAAAGTTAAATAGCAGAGTCGTACAGGCTTCGAGTGCCTTTGCTAACTTTTGAAATATTTGGACTGAAAAAGGAATAACAAGACATTTTTAGACGAAACAATCCACCTCTACCCCCTGCATTGTCGGGTCATCGTAACAGTAACAGTTGCTCCAACGAATGAGCAAGAACGACAGCTGAAGTGCGCAGACCATACTGGCTTTGACGCTGAGTGATGGTTAAATCGCAGAACCACGCGAGGAACTACCCAATCCTATTCCCGGTAGAGGTTCCGCGGAAGAAGCATGGATTAAGAGAAGCAGATTGGCCCAGTTAGACAAACTACAAACTGCTTAAGCATAAACCATTCAGCCTATGAGCTTCTCGTACTGGAGCCGAAACACGACAGACATTGATCGAGAGGCCAGCGGGCAACCTGGAGAAACAATGCAAAGGCAGTTCTGCTTTCGGAGAGGAATACTTCCTTTCATGATGCAGTAACAAGTGCCTTATAAAAACTGTTGTAAAGCTGCGAATACAGCGGGCATCACACGCTGCCGGTATAATGCCGAAGAATGTTGCACTACCATATCGGCAAGATGGACGAAATGCATATCCCGGACGTCTGCTTTGTACCGTATGGTCACTCGTTACTGAAAATCTGAACTGAACTGTGCGCAATAGCTATCGCCCAGTTGTGTTCCACGTAG